GAAGGTCTTTTTAATGTGTATATATTTACGTTGTTTGTGATATACTTGTTTAATAAGCATGGTACATTAGTTACTGAAAGTTGTAGTTTGTGCGAGACTGAGAAAGCTTATATGTCTCTGTGGGACTGTTAACATTAGTTTCATTCAGTTTAAGCCCTCAAAGAATATACAAAAAAATCTACAAATACCTCAGATGAGAAAATATTGCATAAAGTAAACAGTATTCTTACATGCTCCCAACAGGAAGTATCCTAAACTTTTGTAAACAAAGGTTCTGTGTAGTCTGTATCCATAATATAGCATACTATTTTTTTTTTGTCAGTAGTAATAAACTTTGAAGACTTGTTTTTGTCGTTGTAGCCCACACAAGATGACAATAGCTTAAATGAGATTGAAATGGAGCATAGTAAATTTGTAGCTTAACGTTGGGTGGTAAAACACTCAGACAATGAGCGACAATACTGACAATTCTAGAAAGTTTACCAACTAGATAGTTGACATGAGATTCCCGAGTCAAGTGCTCCAAAAAAAATATACCCAAGGTTTTATGTTCATTCACTAGTTTGATTGCCAAAGTGCCAAGATGGATTGTATGATTTACAGCGATTGGTTTATTTGGAGTCCTGAATAAAAAAGCTTTGGATTTTGTTGTGTTTACGGTGAGCCAATTTACCTCAGACCACACAGGAAACTTTCTTAGAACAGAATTTGCTTTGCAAATTCTACATTAGCATCATCACCAGAGAGAAACAGGCTTGTGTCGTCTGCATAAATAATAAACAGCTCTTCATTATCTATGTCCGCAATATCTTTTATTAAAAGTATAAAATATTACTTTGTATTTTTAAACAACAGACCACCAATTAGCAAGGGTGATGCTCATTTGCAAATTGAATTGACCGGAATTTTGCCGAAGATATCCACTTGGGTACGCACTATTTTAGGCCAGATTCAATCTGAGTATGAAGGTGCATATAGAGTAGGGTGAAGAATTTTGATCACTCTTTTCTGCATGATTACGGTATTCGCCTGCTTGACGGTGCTGAATGTAAACAATTTTGGTCAGGGAAAACAAATGCTTTGACCGCCGTTCAGTGTTTCAATAAATGGTAGACTACAAGTGCTTGTCGCAAAACCTTCGTGACATTTTGAAAATATTATTGCTTTTAGCTCAGTTGCGTGGTCATTGTATATATTGTGAAGCAATTTCGTGAACTAGATTTCACAATAAATATGGTGAGGAGGTGCCCATTCTATAATTTTATGCACTGTAATTAATTCCTAAGTTCAAGAGCACAACTAAGATTCGACTTTTAATACTGCGACGCAAAGCTGTACACGGGTATTTCAGGCGACCTACCAGGCTGATATCCTTATCATTGAGGTAAAATATATGCCACTGACGTAAACAAGTAGATCCAGCAAAAAAAAAAAAAAAATTATGACTCTGAACTTTGGACAGCTACCGCCATCTATGAGCGACGGAGCAACCAAACGACAGGTTGCCGCCGTCGCTCATAGACGGCGGCAACATTTGCCGTATAAACACAACATTTTGTATGTTAATCTAGCTTTTTCTTTACTGTTTTAGTTAAGATTAAATAACACAATTTCTTATTTTTGGCACTTGAAAATGAGAGTTGATTGTATGAATGATAAAAAGCTATAAAGTTATTGTTTCATAACGAGAAAAAAGTCAAAGTACAGGCTAGCTGGTGGAAGTCAACCATTTCGTTGTTTACCCTGTGACTGGGTTTTTTTTTAGAAGAGCAGAAGTAACAGAAGTAACAGACCTGTCTGTTTTTTCTGTTACTTCTGCTCTTCTAAAAAAAACCCCAGACTCAGGGTAAACAACGAAATTATTGTTTCATGTTTGAAATAGTGCCTATTGCCAAAACGTGGAAAATATGTTCTGAATTTAGTGGTTCAAACTGTTATTTTTGCCCTACGGAAGTAAACCGAAAGCCATGAACCCGAATCTGTACCAAGCTAATAAAAAATTTGGTTAACACTCTGATGATAGTAACAATTCGGACACGAAACTAGTTTTGTTACTTTATCTGCTGGGTTCTAGAATCTAACATAGCCTTTTGATGTCTGCGTCTGCAATTGTATCCACGTGATTAACATTCACGAGATCACCGCAAAGGTCGACACTATCACTATCATGATACCTCCACTCGTCGTCAACAACACGCCACTTGATGTTTGCCATGAAGCAAGCGGCGCAGTCATAAACACAGCAACAGCCTTGCCCCAATCACGATACCTCTACTCGTCAATGAAAACGCATGCTTTTTCTTGGACACGATCAAGCATCAGTGGCACAATCCTTCAACTACGTCCGACAGGCGTAGCGTAGTTTCGCTTTGGCCAGCTCGAACACTTGCGCGCGCATTAGATGAAGTAATGTTGTTCTACACGTACTCTCCCATGCACGAAACAATAAACCCTTTGCTAAGTCCCCCAAGTGCCCTGGCCAACACTCGAGGAATTATGGGAACGTTGGTCCTTCAGCTCCATAGTGATTGGTAATTTCGACCAATTCAATGGTTACACGGATTTGAGTGTAATCTGGAGTTGCCCTGAACACGCATTATGTAGACTCCAAGGGCCTGTCATATCAATTCTGAAATTTCTCCTCAATGTCAGCTTTTTCTTATATTCTACATGCGATCTGCCTTTCGACCTGGCTGAGCTGCAGAAATATCTTGCCACAATATTATCATTCTCATGATTGTTGTTTTAGCAGGAATCGCTTAAAAAGCCGAGGAATCACAACAACCAAAACCAGGATTTAGCTTGGAGTCAGCGGGGCTCTTTATAGCATTTTTATCGTCTAACTTGGTATCAGCATCTTTGAAGCTGTATGAGAATGATAATATTGTAAGAGATTTCTGCAGGTCAGGCCAGGTTGAAGGGAGGATCGCATGCAGAGTATCAAAAACGCCGACACTCACGAGAAATATTAAAAGTGATACGACAGGCCCTTGGACTCTACACACAACGCGTGTTCAGGGTGACTCCGGACTACACTCAAAACTGTGTAACCATCGAATTGGTCGAAATTACCAATCACTAGGGAGCTGACGGACCACCCTTTCCACGATTCCTCGAGTGCGGGCCGGAACGCTTGGGGGATATAGCAAAGGGTCTATTATGGAATGCCTTGGTTGATTTGTGGGTGTCTAACTTCGTTGAATGTCTCACGTGTACACAAGTTTGCACTGGGCTGCCAGGTAGGACGATGTAACTTTCACAACGGAGGCCAAATAAAACGAGACGTGGTGCTTTTTCTTGGTGCTGTATGGTCAGGAACGCACACCAATCTGTCTTACGTCCGGTTTTCGACATACCTTTTGTGATTTTCCGCCCAAAAAAACTTAAAAGACGCACTGCTCATTCTTGCTCCTTGAAACATACACAAGCTGGCCAAACGGAAGTAATCTCGGCTACAGGAAGTTCCACCATTGGTTGTTTATGTTTACCTTGGAATATCATGTATAGCTGCTTGGTACGATTATATACTATAGGCTAGCTGAACAAAGGTTACAATACAACTTACACCACACACAAAAAAGACACTACTGGACTTGCAACTGTTTAATGCTTCTCTTTTTCTTTCTCTTTTTGAGTAATTGATATTGGTTTTTTTTCTTTCTTTTTTAGCCCATAATTTATTTATTTTTGCTTTAGAGAGCATGGCACCTGAGCAAGCATTAAAGAAAGAAGAATGTGAAACCGCCTCAACAGTAAAAGAAATTGAAAAGCAGCTAAAAGAAAAAGGAAATATGTGATAGAAGAGGAAAAAGAAATGAATTACTCGAAAAGAGAGAAAGAAAAATAGGAGCATTAAACAGATGGAAGTCCAGCAGTGTCAATGCTGTTTTTTTTTTTTTTTTTGTGTGTGTGTGTAACCTTTGTTCAGCTGGCCCATTGTGAGCATTGAACAAACTAGCTCGACTTAGCCCGTAATTGTTACGATTATTGGCTCGCCGTTGGTGGAACCATCGACAAACCAGAACGTCGTGTTCAGTATCTTCCCATCACAGGACAAACGAAGCAACCAATACGCATTTATTCGCAACTTTCCCCGGCTCCCATAATAACTCTTCCAAAAATTTACTCAACTAAAATTTTCGAGGTTTTTCCAGCAGGCAGATTGACACATAGTTGTCATTGATGGTGCTCTAGAGCGCACGATCGCTCCAAATTAGAGCTCCACTGTCGATGCTTTTGCAATTTTGCCACTAACACGCAGAAAAGAGGGCGGGTACCCTGTTTGTAAACTTCGCGCGAGCTCTCTGCTTTCGGTGGAGCTTTGGGCATGCACGCGCAATCGAAGCACAACCGAAGGCAGCGAACTCGCCGAGAAGTTCGGGCATTTAAAAGAGGCACTCCTCGTCGTTCCCGACTTGTCAGTAGCTACTGCTTAATACCGATGGTAATTTTATTTTGGTGGCTTGAAGCTGGTGCTTCGTACCGACCAATCAAACAAAAATATAACAAAGAAAAGTAGTAAATAAACACACGGCACTCCGGTAGCTGCCATCGTAAACACATCTTTCACGCCACGATCGAGTAACTCAACACCGCTTGACAATGATTATGGTGCAATGAAAACTGACGCCGATGATAATATGTCCGTTCCAAAAAATTATGTGATCCTTACTGCTGCCATCATTGGGTGTTCCGTCATTCAAGCGGATATCAACATGAACCCAGTAAAAAAGCGACCCTCAAAAACTGGAGCAAAGTGCGCTCTGCACACTTCGCAACTTCAATGCCGCTGCGCTCTAGAATCTGAAGCATGCACGGGCGCGTGGCGTTAGGCCGGATTTCTCAAACTACCGCACGTCAGACTAATCGCAAAGCACGCAGCCACGGGAAGTGGATGCAAAAGATTGGTGTCAAAAGACCGTGGAACCGCCATTGCCAGCTGTTTATTTATGGGTGAGACTACAACAGGGGACAAAAACCTCACGGACGGACCGACTTACCGGTTTTCGGTGGGTACCTGTAGGCGTTGTTGGCGACGTAGTCCACCTCCTCGACCCTGGCGTTCTGTCGACTCCATAAACCACCCATGTTTTAGAAAGAATCGAGTATTTTTCCCCTTTGTTTGACGTTCCCGACACGGATACATCGAGGCACGACGAAGCACGGCACCGACGACGGAACTACATCCGGCGCGCGGAGGAATTGGCCTCAGCACGTCTCGCCACACGCGTCAACGGTGGTCAGACGCCGCGCGAGGAAGGAGTTCGAGATGTGAGTTCATGAAAACCAGCGTCGTCTGCACAACGAACGCACGCCGACTGTCTAAGCAGTGGTACCTTACAGGTTTATTATTACTGTGAAAGCCAATAGGCAGACTAAATTTATTTACAAAGTAATATTGGCATTTCTTTACGTAATATTAATATAACCTCATTGATAGATCAGCGTCTAGAGTAAAGACTATCAAATGCGCGAGTTGTTTACATCTGTTGACATAGCAACCAATTGTGGCTGTCACACGCTTGCCAACCAGATTTGTTTCTGGTCTCGCAAGGTCTTTAGACTAAAATGTCGTACCGGGAACTAAGAAGTAAGTATACTTTTGCACGTGAAACATGGTAAACATGTCTAGAAAGCTAAATCAAGGCGATAAATTCCAGACTTCACCGAGATGACTCGTGCTCTTGGATATCCAAGACTTGTCTCGCTGGAAAATTTTAGAAATCCAAATTTTCCTCTGGTCGCCGAAATCCTGCGCTGGCTCCTCAAACGGTAGGAATGCATGTTTATTTTTTCTTCCCAATAAGTGCTACTTGCCGCTATACTACCTTTGGCATCATAACGTATTTTAGCGGTACTGGCAAAATGTGTTTTTGAATATATGCGCACTGATGCACGGTTCGCCGCTTGGTCCATCGCGCGCAGGTATGACCCGGACATTGAAATGCCGACTGAAATAGACACGGAACAAGACAGAGTTATTTTTATCAAGGCGGTGGCGCATACAATGGTAAGTTTTACCACTCACGTGAGAAATAGTGTGTGTGCTGCGTACGCAAGCGTTGTTCCAACAGATAGAAACAACCGAAAACAATGTATATTAAAAACAGAATTAAGGAATATTCTTTCTGAACGACACGGGAAGTCAAAACCAAAAGTTCACGCAAACCTAAACCGAAACCAGAAGTAGGCGACGCGTCACTCATGACGTCATAGAAAAACTTCATTTTCTGAACTGATACAAGTGCTGAAAAAATCTTACAGTTTCATAACAAAAGTCTTTATTAAATATTTAAGAATGGAGATTATACCACAGCTTCACAATACAGAATCTAAAAACATTTATTAAAACTCTAAGATTAAGATAAGGGAGATTTTGTATATTTCGTTGGTCATGTCACCGATAAGAAAGGTGCTCCAAAGTACCACTGCATATAAGCAGCGCGCGCGCATGCGTAGTGTAACGGTATCCAGTGACGATTGAATTACCGTATGATGTCCGTGATCAGAACATTCTGGCTGCATATGAAGACTGAGGATATCCGTTTTTATTTCCTTGCTTTAGAACCAATTATTGCATAAGTTTATATACATATATATAAACTATTGTCCAGCATACCTTTGTTATGATTCTCCCACCTTTGTCTGCATTTAGTAAAATAATTTCGTTATTTTCAGATCCTTGACACAGTCAGCATGTCCCAGAATTTGAATATTTTCCATACCAGGTGTCTCTCAAATAGCGGCCAGGCTTAGGCCAGGCTCTTTAAATTGACAGCAGCGTTGCCCACAGGTGGTGCATTTTTCCTAGAAAATATGCAAAGATCAAACTTACTTGAGAAAAAATGTAAAAAAAAAATAAAAAGGCTTATCTCCTATGAAAACGCAGCGAAGCCACCGGTCTTCAAACCTTCGAAGACCGGTGGCTTCGCTGCGTTTTCCATAGGACTTAAGCCTTTTTCTATTTTTACTTTTCCTCATGTAAGTTCAATCTTTGCAAATTTTACAGAAAAAATGCACCACCTGTGGGCAACGCTGCACAAAATCGTAGCGCGATAGGTTAAGAAACCGATTTTTGCAATCGATTTAAAGAGCCTGTCCGCTGTTTGAGACAACGGGTAGAAATGTTTAGAAACTCTCACTGACAGAATCATTGTAAAAGTCATGCAGTGCTGGAAGTGGCATTGGACCTTCCGTAGCAGGTTTTGTAGCAAGCAAAATATTGGTTTGGACATTGAAGCAGCCACTCACGGCTTTGGAGCAGATATGCCAATGCCTGTTAGCACGTCACTTGGAAATGTGACTGCATCGCTAAATGAGTTCATATTTGAAAATGATTGAGGGTTCCTATTTGATACTGAATATCTTTTGTAGTAAGAATAGGAGCAAAAGAATTACCCAGCCATCTTTTAAGAAATAATGCCGAGATCAGAGTAAATTCCATTTACAATCGGTATTAAAAAAAAAGTTGAAAAATGAGGCATTGAGTAACGTTTGAGATAAAGCATCTCTCTCCTCCCCCCCCCCCCCTTTTACACTGAGTAGTTAATCTGGCCTGTAAATTCCTGTAAAATCTAGGCAAAGATCAACACATCCGCTGAAACATCTATAGATAAAAATATGTCCCCATAAGTTTCATGAATACCACTCAAAATTCTAATTAATACCTTGAAAAATCAACCACCTACAAATATTATAAAAATCTACATTGACTGCTGCACAGGAACTACCTTGCCGTATTTATTTAAATAGAGACCCGCCTTTTGTCTACGTTCTTGGCCCATGTCCTTTTAATATCAGAGGTCAACCTACATTCGAGACCAAAGAAGGTCGACATGTAATAGTAGTGAGCATTATTTCCGAGCCGATCACACTAACCCATGCCCCCCCCCCCCCCCCCCCCCCCCCATGTCAAAGGGTGGTTCCCGTTTTGACCCATTCCCAATTCAACCTTCCCGTTTGTACCTTCTCGCTCCGACCCGGCTGAAAACGACCTTCTCGTTTCATCTTTTCCCATTTCGCCCTATCCCAAAACAACCTTCCCGATTCGGCCATCGTTTGTTATCTGTTGGGTCAGTTTGTTTGTATTGTTTGTTAACAGTTGATTAGGTTCAAGGGTCCAATGTCTGTCCTCCTTGCTCACATTACTTCTCCCTCTCCCGAAACAACCTTGGAGAAATGGCACCTTAAGATAAATGCAGTGTCAGCGAGGGCTCACCCAAACATTTACAGCTTCATCGATTTGATCATACGGGATGAGGCTTTGACAAGCGTATCTTTGCAGCAGCTTGCCAATAGTGGTGCCGTGCGGGCCAGGGGGCACAAGTGGGTCAGCAAGGACCACAAACTATCAGAACTGGAGTGTCGCCTTTCTGATGGCACGATTTCCCTGTTCGACTTTCTCTACGAGGCGAAGGCATTTTCTGGTCCATGATGTTTTTCTGTGTGCGCGAGTGTTCAGTGTCTGAATTTGTAAAATAGAAAAGTCGCACTCATATGCCTGTCACCCTGTCTGATTTATCGCTCTCCAAAATATCAAGATCACTTATATGAGGTTTTAGAGTAACGTACGCGAGCACTTTGGGGTACCCTAAAAATAGTGTCGCGATGGTGACGCTATTTTGGGCGTTTCGATGGCGACGCTAATTTTAGCTTACCCAATTTGCTTGTGTACGCAAGACTTCATTATTGTACAGTCGGCACGGAATGAAACGCGAACAGTGGGTGCATGGTTTTCGCTAGATGCTGCACCACCTGAACCAGATGGGAGCTGCAAGAAGACGGCTCCTCCTTCGATGTGTTAGACTCTTGCTCAGTGCATTTAAACCTTCGGTGTTGCGTCTCTAGGCGACTCAGCATGGATCGAAAACCTTGCGCTCCTTGTTCGCGTTTCATTCCGCGAACAAGCAATCGGTGGTGTTGCTGCTAATCTCATAGAATGCAAAGGAAGCCATAAAAGCTATTACTGTTTTGGGAAGTGCTCATCTGATCCAGTGCCCTAAGCCCTAAAATTTAGTGCCCGCTAATACCATTTCGAAGTAAAATTAAAAAAAAAAAAAAAAGCGACGAGGTTGTTTTTGCAGTAACGGTGTCGCAGAGCGTAGATAGACCATTTTGCGGTTGCACGTTAGGGGATCATCCTGAAATAAAAAAAAAAAGAACACTTAAAGTGGTTGAAGTAAGAATAATATATTACTTCGAAGCTTGCCTGAAAGAGGTGCATATTTTTAGAATACATTGGCATGCAATAATATTTCAGAAGATATATTCTTGAGCAGAAGAGGTGCGTGCAGACCAGGGTTAGAGCGATTAGACTTTTGACGAAGAGCTTGTGATGCGCAAGGTCTTATACAAATGGGTTGAAAATGGAGGGGTTTAAACACAAAGGGTCATTTGGGTATCGGTTGAAACAGGACACGTTCAAATGAGACAGCGTTTTGGGAATGGGACGAAATGGGATGGGTTCAAACGGGAAGGTCGATTCGGGGATGGGTAAAATGGGACGGGTTCAAACGGGAATGGGTTGTTTCGGGCTACACCCATGTCAACTGCCGCTCCTAGCACTCCGGTGGAAAGCGGTGAAGCTCGAAGCACACGCACTAGTGCGAGGCCGTGAATGTTAATAGAGCGGCAAAAGTACCACAGTACACTGTAGCCACGTCATGAAGGCATACGTGGCGGACACGGCAATTAAGTTAAATCATGAGGAATAAAAGACCCACCGCCATCGCACTATTTTGCAATTGCTCTCGCGACTTGCTGCGGACATCATCTGGAAACTCAGACGATGACAAGGCCAGCGCAGTTGAGAGCGATATCTACACTTCGTTTCGTCTTAAGTCAAAGCGCAGGCGACTCTACGAGTCAATGGGACCAATCGCGCAGCGTCAAAAGCGAGACATTATGGTTCTCGTCAATTATCTGTACGTGCTATTTCATTGACCAAACCAATCAAGCACTGCGAATGCTTCTAGACTTGCACTTATAGCGTGTGTTCGTGACTATTTCGGTTTGAGCCTTCGGCTGTGTTCTGACCCAAGACGAAACACACTATACGGTGGGTAGACACACCGTGAAATACATATTTGTATCATTTTCATTTCCTTTTTTATTTTTTGCTTTTTTTAAAGCTTACCTCGATGCAGGTATGGCCCAATTCGCAAAAATGGCGCTTTGGCACAAGGTGTAGCACACTTTTGTTGATGGCACAATTTGGTGCAAATGGCACAGCATTTTCATCACCGGTCATGATTGTTACATTTCTTGTAAAGGCAACCAAGGCCCACTTGAAGCTAAACACCCGGAAGCTGTACATGGCAGACGGATATGCGGTAAAGGAGCTCTTCAAGGTCACCTCACTGCTCTACGATGCCATGAAGACAAAGTCCTTTGACCCCGAGTCAGCGGAAGGAAATGTCAGCACTACAGGCGACGCTTTGCCTTACGACGTGGCTTCGAAGGTAATTCAACAAAGCATGAAAGTCGTATGTTATAGCTTTAAGTATAGGAAAACGAAAGCTCTGATGAACCATTAAAACTACCTATTGAATTAGTTTATTATATCTAACCAACCCAGTCAGCCACAGTTGCTCCACCAAACTATATACAAAATGCACTGTAGCCCAAACTCTTGGCTCACTGAAAACTTCAGCTGCTTCAGATGAAATAAGACTCGAACAAGTTCTGGCCATATGAGATGTTGCAGCATAAAGTGGCTCAATTCAGACAATCTTTGCTTATTCTCAAGTCAATGATTTATTTGTCACCAGAGTTTAGTAACCAGTTACGTAACGTCTCTCACCAGCTCTCGGACCTGAAGCTTACCAGGCAACTGGCGTCGGAAATAACGCACCATGGTGCCCAGCTCTATGACCATCTGGCAAAAGAGGCAGAGCTCAAGGTAACTGCCCAACAATATTTGGAATAAAAAAATTCAGGCATATATCAAAGTTGTTTGATCATGTCCCATACCTAACTCCACTGGGCATCCAAGGGACATTGCATGGGAGATGTCCTTGTATAGATATGGATGACTGCATGGGGCATCTCTTTCGTCTTAATCGAAGAAGAAAAAAAATAATAATTCAACGTCCTTTTGCTAGAGCGGTTACTGATTTTATGGTTTCAACTTGTTTGAAAAGAATAATGATAGAGATCGAAAAGGTCAAAATGTGTGACTGATTTGAAATGTATACATACAAACAGTGAGTGAAGGACTTAGCATGTGACCATACCCAATATGTATTTGAAGACCACAACCCCTGACAAAAGACACAAAAAATGCTACTTTCTCATGCTCCCATGCAACAGATTTAGCAGATTATTAACTAATATAGTAATTTTCTTCCGATAAGCACTGCTGATGTGACATTTCATGCAGCTTCCAGAGCCAGAATCCTTCTGCAATAAAGTTACATAAAAGAGAGTAGTCTATTACGCTTCACAACTTATTTCTACTACTACAATGATTTGGCCCATGGAAAAGCCAAGGAGTGTTAATGAGAACCTGTAGCAATGCGCATTGCCCCCATAAATTATAAGTGGTTATTTCTCAGTCCATTATATTTTTTACAAAAACATTGTCTACATTTCTAAACGCATGCTGTTTGAGAACAAAAATTGGAGGCTAGTGCTAGGAACTTCGAAGCCCAGTTTTTTTTCACCGAACTTCACCTTTCTGCACTTGCAGGAAATGAGGGCTGCAACCCTGGCCAAACAGCTTGAGATCACCGAGATTGAGAAGTGTCTGCAGGATGCAACGCGTCTCGTCATGGCAAGTGAACACGGAGCAGCCGCTTGACAAACATAAAAATAAAGATGCACATACTCAGGATGCACCAACTGATGTGCAACTCAAAGATGATCAATGAAGATGCACCAACGTAATTTCTGTGAGCAATTGTCTTTGTGTTATGCAGGAGGAGACCGCACAACTTCATCGCCGAATGGAAACCGTGGCCGCCGACGAGGCCAATCTCGAAGTCAAGATCGACAAGAAGAAAGCAGACCTGGAGCGCAACCAGAAAAGGCTGGCCACCCTCCGTGCAGTTAGGCAAGTGTCCAATGAACAGTGGGAACATTTAGCGCAAATTAGCTTAATTCAGAACCATATCATCACGAGGGAGGCAGGTAGTCCATCGAGGGTGTCAACAACTGAGTAGCCAATGCTGGGAAGCTCGGACACCAGGGAGTCAAATGCCCTGTACGCCTTTCTGTGCTGTTACAAAAACCAACAGCACCTTGAATTTATATTGTAAGCCAGAGTCCCACCCCACCCACTGGACTTCCACCTCAGTAGTATCACATAAATAATGTATTTTCCCATTTGTGGTCAAATCAATTGGAACAATGCTCTTTGCTCTGCCATACAGGTGCTCTATATACTTTGAACACACTCGCTAGCAATTACATATATGCTCAAAATCTACCGTAAGCAGTTACTAGTTAAAATACCTACTAAGTAAAGAAAACTTTTTTAAGAACTAGAGTCTCTAAGGAACAAGCATCACCGTTTATTGTGGAGAATATGCAGTTCCTCAGAGGTATTCATGCAACACACTCGTGTTCAGCCCTGTGTTGCTACTACTTTGATTCAGAATGGCTTAAACCGTTCCATCTCTGAGTTAGCCGAGCTGCCATCTTTGCTTTTCATGCAGACCTGCATTCATGGACGAGTATGAACGTATCGAAGAGGAGTTGTCCCAGGTGTACGGTCAGTATGTGGTCAAGATAAGGTGCCTGGCCTATCTCGAAGAACAACTCGAGGAACTTGAACGAACGCAAAAGATCGAGTTCAATGTGAGTGGAAATTTTCTTCCTGCCAGGGCCAAGTTACAATTCAGCCTGAACGATTAGATATGCCCGAATGCCGTGGCACTTTTCTCGTAACAGAGGAACTGGCATGACGCATGCCATATTGCAGTTTAAAATACACATTAAATGCACGTGCATAAGTTATCACGTTTTCTCGTCAGGTGCGATACTCTACTACAAATTGTGTCCAAGGTACTGTGTAGATCAGGGGTGGCCAAGTTGCGGCTCGCGAGCCGCATGTGGCTCTTCGCATGCAAAAGTGCGGCTCGCGGCTCCCTTCCCCCCCCCCCCCCCCCCCCCCCCCCCCCCCAAACACACACACATACCCACACACACTCCGCCGCCTTCCTCCCGGTCACACGAGCACTTCCCCAAAAAGAGAAATGAAACGCGTTGTCAATCGAAAGACGGGTTGCGGTTTGGTAGTCTTCTGCCGCTGCTACCTTACGTACAGTTGGACTGCCCTTGACTCGGATTGATTGAAATTAGTTCGAGTTTCGTTTATTGCTCTCGACAAAGGTTTGCCCCCCCCCCCCCTCAGGCGGCTCTTGGAAGTATCGTGGTTTTGTTTGCGGCTCTTAGGCCGGGTCAGCCTGTCCACCCCTGGTGTAGATGATCAATTCGAGCAAGCCCAAACCTAACGAAAGTTTGCTTCAATTTACCCAATGATGCACGAAAGGTTGCAGTTGTTGGCTTCACCACAGCACGCGCCATTAATGTGGGATAGTCGAGTATACAGGGGCACTACAACTTTCGTTTGCATTTAGCGGATTGTTGGATATTTTAAGTGCAAGCTTCCAAATATTTTGTCCACATGTTGCCACTACGTCGACACAGCATTATCAAAACGTTCGTCACGCAGGAACTCGAACAGTGGATGCATACTAGTCTCCACAACTTCATGCATGTTTAGACGGCTGCTGACGATTTCTAGAGCAAGCTCCCCAAGTGTTTCTTAGTCGCTACTAGCTCCCCAAGTGACATAATCTGTCACTAAATTTACACAACATTGTCACAACGTTCATCATGCCGAAACTGGAACAGCGGATACCATACTGCAGTCTCCTCGACTTCATTCATGTTTAGGCTGTTGTCGATTTCAAGACAAACTTCCGAATGTCTCGGTGACATGTGTTCTCTGCCACATTGACAGAATGTTACAACAATGTTCATCGTGCAGGAACTCGAACAGCAAATACATACTGCAATCTCCATGACCTCATTTATGTTTGGATAACTATTGCCTCTTTGAAGCACAAGTTTCCGAGTGCTTCAGCCACATGCTCTTCATTTCTACGTTGATATTACATTTACACTATGTTGACTGTGCAGGAACGTGAACAGCGAATGCGTACCGCTGTACGGCTGAAGGAACCGATCAGCATTGCAGGACAGGACAAGGCCGATGATCCTGGAGCCGATGACGTCGCTGGTACGTCTGGTTGCTTTATTTGTAGACTGCACACTTGTCCATTTCATTCATAAAAATTGAATGTACTTACGCTGACCAGAAACCGTGTAAAATCGGTGAAATCTGAAAACCACCAGTTTCCCCAACCCCTATTATCCAAGCCAACAGTTACTGCACTTTGCTTCCGTTATTCAATATTTTTTTTTTTCTAATGGGCAATAAGAGCTAATTGTCGTGTGACAAGCAGCAAAAGTGCACTCCTAGACAGGTTTTCTAAATCTTTGCCCAACTTTACGCCCCCCGCCCCCCCCCTTCCCCCCACCCCTGAAGTTTCAGAATTTAACAATTTTGTTACAGAGATAAAGGAAGACATATATTCGACCCAGCACCGTCGAAAAATGTGCGGCTTAGTGCTCGCTGAAACGAGTCCTCGCATATTTACAACACCATGCGAGACATTGTAGAGCTGCTGAGCGAATGAAACAGCCTTATGGAGTTTGTCATTAAGGATGTGCTAACCTCGTCTGTGCCTTACCTGCAGCGTCCGACAACCAGGTTTCTGCTAGAAGACTCCTGTTCGGATCCATGGCAGGAGACCGGGTAAAACTTTCAAGCAATTTCGTTTTCACAACACAACGTTCCCCTCTCGAATGTATATCGCGATGTAGCAACTGCTTGACATTCAGAATTCAATTGCCACTGCACTTCTAAAGTTATAAAGCACGGTATAATGCAACGGACGTGTACCGAAACCGCCAGATTCAGATTCAGTTGGCGACCATAGTGCTTATTACGCGGGCGAGAAGTGCCGAGTCACTGGTCTGCGCACGCATGCGCGGCATCCGGTATTTCGCAGAAGAGAGCCGACAGCACTTGTTCAGGACGCATTCGACAGCCCAGCGGACGAAGATGGCAGCGTGCAGAAAGCGATTATTGTAACGGCCCGTACCCGGCCCCGTTCACAGAACGCCCCCTATATTATTCGTTTGCAGAGTGCACGTCGAAACTTTCCCGATCGCTATGCTCAGTTTCACCTTACATTAGATTGTGGTGAACTACACGAGTTCACCACAATCAATTCCAGCCGCTCAGGCGCCGTGAACTTGTCCCACAACTACACATAACGCACGCTGCTGCCGCCTTCCTGAAGGTCGCAGGGCACCCCCGCGGCATAGGGTCGACGGACCCATATGGCGTGTAGCGTCCGTGCGGAGATAAAGCGGAGTACAGCTTGCGTGTGCAGTTTTAACAGCTTAAAATTGTGAAACGCAGAATGCATGGCCAAAGTGTTTAACTCGCAATGTGGCAGGTGGTGCGGCGCCTGCCGCTAGACTTTTACGTTTGTTGGTCTTTTGTTTAGCGAATGTCTCACAAGCTGTGCACGGTTTAAAGCCTTTGTTCTTTTCTTCGTCCGACGAAGGTCGTGGACTCTGACTCTGACCTCGACCTGGAAGGCGAAGAAGACGGTTCGGACGACGGTTCCTCCGACGACGACCTTGAACTCGACCTTGAGAACATGGGTGGGCTCAAACCGCCCACGAGACACACCCAGTCCCGTTTCGTCGACAGCGACAACGACTTCTAGACCGCCACCATGGGAGAACATCGAGTCACATTATGTTTTGTGCGTTTCACCTAAAAATTAATTGTCTCAATTGGCACTTTTAACTAAAAAGTATTTGACGAAACTACCCGATCAGAAACACCCTTAAGGTAATGTTCCCTAGCAACCTCATCGGAATGAGAGTTTGTTGCGTCAAGAAGCGGAGACTGCTCGTATTATTGCTAAAAAAGTACTAAAACCGATTAGATAACAGCTCATAAATGTAATCGTAGGTAGTTGTACATAGTGTGATCTATAGAATGTGTAGCTTGTAATCGGAGATCATGCTGGTTGGCAAGTTTGTCATACTTGCTGCCACCACAAAGACCACACCAACTTCCAAGTTTAGCAAAAAGTGTAAAAAAATACATTTTATGTTCAGAATGCTCCAACGATGCCCACCACATTAAAAATTGTGAGAAAGAGAAACCGGTCATCCGGCTCGACACAAACGTTTCAAAGCACCGTACGTTCGTGAAAAAAGAAGTAAAGGGCTGAACTGTTGCGGACGACAAGGACCAATCGGAAAACGACGCATAAGTAAATAAAGCACCAGTTGTAAACCTTATGCTCGTATCAAAACAAAATATTTGTACAGAAGAAAGTTTGGACTGCCCGATCGGTCCGAAAAATGTTCCATTAGGCGAGCGAACGGTTCAGAAAAAATGCGAAAATGAGTGAACGAGTGGTAAAAAAAAATGTTTTGACAGAACTATTGGGCACTGGCTTCCGCGGTGAACGGAGGACGGGTGAAGCATCGTTGCATGGCATCATTGTAAGGCAGTCCGTCGCCACGCCGCTCACACCTTCTCGTAGCCGGGCATGAAGAAAGTGAGTGCGAAGTTCTCGACTTGCTCGCGCAGTTCCCTGACTCGATCGACGCAAGCCGGATCCGTCTCCAGCTTCGTCTTGAAGTCCTTCAGGGTTGGTCCTGAGCCCGCTTTCACTTCCAGGGCGAATTGCAAGCCTGGAGGACGAAGACGAGGTTAGTTGGGACCGGTCCCCGGAGGAAACACGTTAGAGATGTGAAATACACTCCTTGAACAAACTCCAGTCCACCACAAACTTTTGTAAAAGTCCCTGAGAAATCTATAAGTGTGTCTAGTGCATTCAGTTGAGTGAGCTTTCACTTCACCAAGCTCCTTCTTGGCGTCCCTTGGAAGTTTGCTCAAGCGGCAGTTCATTGCACGGGGCTCGTTCTTGAGACGAGGGTAACGTAAGGGCGTCAAAAAAAACTATCGCACAATTACCGAGGCAGTGTGAATAACTGAAGTTGTTAAGAAATAACAATAGTTAATGCTTATTATTATTTTTTAATAATGGTAGTGATTAAGGGGACACTACCAAAAAAAGGTCAACTTTTGAACTTTTGACGTAACACAAATTAAATTTACAGTATGTACTTGCAGTTGCAAGGCAAAATGCAGTACAAGGTTCGATCTGTGTACATGAACAGTGTGTAGCAAATTATCATTTTGAAATTCCCTGACTTTTCCAGGTTTTTCCTGACAATTTCAGGTGAAATTCTCCGACCACTGTAGAGGCGATTAAATGTATAAGAGCATTACAACACAAGGCATTGAGAGGATCATTTTGCATGGAGTTAATCCAACTTGTAGATTCCGAAATATTCCGGTTCGTCCAGTCCGGATAAAGCGAGCACTTTCTTTGCGTCGACATCGTCAGTGAAGAGGCCACTTACGGAAACACAATGAAAACACGACGCTCAGCCACACACATTCATAACCGAATGGCAGCATGGCCGCCAGATGCACATTTTCGGATACTTTTGGCCTAAGGATTGGATTGGGGTCTGCGGCTTTCCTATTTGTTACTAAATCTAGTAGCTCTAACTGGATCTAGCCTGCTGTCGTGTTTGAACTGGATTTGTTGGCTGTTTCCTCTGCACCATGTAGCAGACTCTACATCAGGTAAGCAGAGCCAGCGCTCTGCTCTAAGCAAAATTTATTGTCTATTTTTCTGCCACCAAGTCCTCAAGTCCCTGCTCAGGGCACTCGATGGCGTTTCCGGCTCAATTTCCCTGACTGGGCTCGCTTTATGACAATATCCCTGACAATTCCCCGATTTTTCCCGATAATTAAAATTTCCCTGGTAATTCCCGGTTTTCCCGATCGCTAAACACCCTAACGAATTGTAAAAAAAATCAGTCGTTTTTATCAGGAACAGACTGACTTTGTTTAGGAAAACTATCGTTAGAAAAGTAATGTAAGACCTAACGTTTTTCTTCACTAGATCTGCAGCCGTATGCCTGGAGAGTGCAACTGTGAAAACAAAAATTCCAAAAAGTAATTTATTTTATGCTAACATCGCAGTGAAAATATCAAATAAATTTTTTATCTTTTATGTTGACAAAATCTTGGCATATTTTATAAAAGACATCCACAAAGTCATAAAACAACTCCACAGTTGCATTGCCCATAAAGTTTCAGTCAGGAAAAACAATGAGCGAGTCTTTCCTTTTGTGCCATTAACAAACAATAGTTTTCCTGATGTAAAATTCATGCCAAAAAGTGGAACAGAGAAAAATATGTTCAAACTGCTCCAACCTTTAGCTTTTCTTTGGCACTCGTAGACCGAAACTTATTTATAAAAAATTAACTATGCGGTGCAAACTAATGAAACTTTCTGGGAATACTTTCCAGATGTTGGTGGATGTAAATATGGCATTTTTCAAAATCAACTTTTTTTGGCAGAAATATTTTTTTTGGGTAGTGTCCCCCCTTAACTAAAGATAATAATTGATGATAAGGAGATAAATATATGCTTCCTGCCATGGGAATCAAACCTGAGCCCCCTTGATTTGCAGCTTGATGTTGTACCTCTGCTCCGGCCAACGACATGAACCACATTCCTTGGATAGGTCTAAAGTGCAAGATTTATGTGGGTGAGGACGCACAGCACAGCGAACGCTGCGACGCAATCGACCAGATAACGCCTTCCTGGCACGCGTCCGATCCTCAGCCAACAGCATTTCTGCCGTCCAGCCAGTACAGCTGAGGTAAAAAAAAAAGGGTCTCGTTCCGGACGCACGCTCTTCCCGCTCCGAGTGTCTGCTCTGACCTTGACGGATGCTGGCTCGAACACAGCGCCAGAGATCTCTCCGCTTCAACGCATTCATAAAATTGTTACTGCCGCCATCGAGGCATGAAACTAGGGCCAATGAAGAAGCAGTGTCTAAGCAATGCGCATAGTGCAAGTGCCAAGTTCTTCATGGGGTGGCACACACCCAGATTAATAAACAAGCATGGCTCCCATAGAAAAGCGTGGGAAACTATGCCTGCAACAGGCTGATGTTAGCCGCATATTGAGGAGCAGTCCTGTGGCGCCTCTTGCAACCGAGGTGAGTATGAGACCCTTTCTGGCAGCTGCAGTGCGTACGGCACCCGCACCTATACATGTCTTACACCGTGGTTCAGGGTGAAAACACACGCCGTATTCAATCCATTTTTTGGCTGCTCTCGCCGGCGCCCTCTCGGATCAGTGCTCAGCAAATTACGACGACAGAAACTGCTCTTCTGCAAGCAAACTATGTCCACGTGCCGCGGAGCAGTGGGACACAACGTTGCCCCACCGTGTCAAGGTGGAGACGCGCTTCGGTCAATGCGTGTCTCCGCCCCGAGAGCGGTGCTGGCATCAGCACCCCAAGATCGGCAAACCATGGACCCACCCTTGTGGATGAACTCGGCGACTGTGGCCATGTCCTGCTCCTTGAGCCCCCTGGTGGTGAGGGCAGGGGTGCCCAGCCGGATGCCGCCGGGGTTGAGGGCGCTCTTGTCTCCCGGCACAGTGTTCTTGTTGCAGGCAATGGACATGAGCTCCAGCACACGCTCCGCCCGGGATCCGTTGAGCCCCGTCGGGCGCAGGTCCACCCAGACCAGGTGGTTGTCCGTGCCGCCTGCACGCGGGCCGTAGGGGGGACCATGAAACCGTGGCGACACGCATGCAAAAGTGGTACTCTGGTGCCCCGCGTGTTTAGTTCCCTACACCAGCCGTACATCAAAATGGGGTCCCAAAGTGGCCACAAATTATGTCGCAGGAGCATGGCTTTCTAGTGACTCTAGCATGCCCCGTTTACTGCTAAGCTGACGGGGTCGGTGGAAGCACGTCGGACCTGTTAATTGTTGATCTGGCACCACTTTATCATACTGTCCACACATACTCACGTGCAGAAAGCGGAGTCGGACAAGCATGTAGCTTCCGCAGTGATGTAATTGGCCTAAGCAATTTTGGAGCACCTGTCGGAGCAGCCAAAACAGTGTTTTGGAGCAGCAAATGTGGCCTTTGGAGCAACCAAAACAGTGTTTTGGAACAGCAAAGGTGGCTTTTGGAGCAGCCAAGACAGTGTTTCAGAGCAGCAAGAGTGGCCTTTGGAGCAGATATTCTTAGAAAAGTAAATATATTGGTTTTAAGCGCTGTACAAACAAAGGGCACTACGTGTTGTGTTGTGTTCTGATGTGACGTGTTGTGAGGAACTCGCTGCTTGTGTTTTTACTGCTGAGACATCCCCCAACTCTAGTGCTTCAGGCATTGCCAAACAATTCCGAAAAACCGCTTGCCATCATTTTACTGGTTCCCGACGGGCCAGATTTTCATCAAAAGTAAGCAAACATAAACCAATGGAGTGCAAGCGTCCCGGCTGGTGCCTCTGTCGAGCAATCATGTTCGCATGCACGTGAGGGCAACTTCGGTAGGCTTGCAGTTGCGCGTGCTTCCCCGTCGAAGCAACCCCGTCAAAAGCGAGCTTCACGTGTGTTGCTTCTCTGCAGTGGACCGGTGCTTGGAAAGAAGTGCGTTCAGCAGGTCTCACCTGCCGCAATCAACACTTGGAAAAATATAAGATTGCATCTTGGACATAACAGTGCACAAAGGACGAGGACAAAGGAAAGGGACACACAAGGCACCCAAATGCTGACTTGCAAATGAAATACAATACACAAAGAAAGAAGAAGATGAAAGCATAGAAAAGGCTCCCACTATATAAGAGCGCACCAAAGACGCAGCTTAAAAGGCAGATTACAGAAAGCTTAAGGGCGCACTACACATACAGTCATACCCTGAAAGATGCCCCCAGCCCCGAAGGGTAATCCACTCCTATTTTTGACATACTTTCTTACATTAAAAAAAAAAACAAGAAAAGAAAGAAAGATAGCTTTCTTTTATACTCCATTTCACCTTATGTTGTACCGCAGCGAAGGCTAGAAGCGCGAGCTCATAGCGTTGGCAGCTGCCCTTAATGCACGAGAGCTTGTGCCGCCGAGATCTGCCCTAGAGCAAGGAGCTCGCACCTGTAGCCTTTCCTGCGGTACGTCATAAGGTGAAACAGAGTATAGTAATTGCAGTGCCCTGGCCAATGGTGACCTCTGAAGAAATGGGGCTAGTCAGCTATGGCAAGAGATAAATAAGCAGACATTGCTGACGGGGAACGGCAGTTGTCTATGCTTCATTTCCCCTCCATGTGAAAACAAGTTTGGCAAATAACAAAATATGGAAATAGCCTATTTTTTCATTTTTTTTTTTTAATCACAGACCAAAGGTTAGCCCACTCCTTATTTTCCCTTGATTTGCTCTCGCTTTTAGGTGGGCTATCTCTCCGGATGTTACGGTAGTTTTTTTCCTTTGTTCTCGTCCCTTGTGTGCTGTTATGTTCAACATGACGTCATACCAACTAGCCCAGCTCACCACACTTCTAATGAACATCAGAATTCATCTCGAAAGCGAACATCGAATAGTGTATTATTTGAAATTGCCATTCAAACATTTGTGCAATCGTAGAGAAAAGGAACCAAGTTCCCGACCAAAAATATACACACCTTGAAACAAAAACATAGAATGTGAAAGGAACAACTACGGTTTCTTGTAAGAAGCGAGGCCATTTCCAGTTGCCTTTCTAACACCTATAAATCGCGGCACAATTTTTTCATTATTCCCATCGCCAAAGATACTTCTGTAGTACAGTAAGAGACTTTATTTTTGCAGGCTTAATGACTCGCGAATTTTGCAGAGTTTCTGGAACATTTCACGGGCACAATATTTCACAATTCGGAATGATATTCTATGCATTTGCTGCCATGGTGCGATTTATATTTGTGCAACCAATTTAAATAATTATTCGGTTGTCAATTTCGCAAGAAATAGGCACTCGCACGCCAAAGTTAAATTGTTTAGTGTATATTTCGTAAAGATCAGGGACCACGAGAACATTTTCTCACTTGGCTAACTAATGCTCAACACTTGGCTAACTAATGCTCAACAAACGACTTACATTAATAACGCATGTAACAGCTGTGTCTGTACTGTATCAGCTTTTGTCAACACGCCCTGGCTTTTGCAAACAGCATTTATCTATGAGGCTCCGTATCTCACTTCCTTCTCTCCTACTGCCTTTCTCCTCTGAATGGACAGTCATGATCCATACAAATTCCAAAACAAAAGAAAGATTATCTTCTGGTGATGGATGATAATGAGTTCGCAAGAAGAGCACTGTGGGACCGTAAACCCCGAAAGCAAGAAAATACGAACTGCAACCAGAAGCCGCATTGGACTAGAATCTTCTCTAAACTTTTCCCCAAACCTTCTGTGCCCAAAACCTTTGTCTACCTATACAGTAGGGTGTCTATATACTAAATGGGGTCCATATTACAATAAAGCGAAATGACTCTGTGTATTCTAATCTGGAACCGAACCGACTTCGTTGCATTGCAAACCAACTTCCTTTGCCCATTTCTTTTTTAGGTTGCCACAGCTCTATTTAGTCGTGCGAGTAATCTCGTCGGACTTCGCTAAACTGATATACCATTTAGAGAACAAGGAAGATGTTACGATATCAGATAGCAGCGTGGTTTACAACGTGCATCTCGACAAAAATGTGGGGCAAGCAGATACGTTCAACAGAAAGATAATTAAGCAATTGCAGTGTGCATGCAGCGAGATGAAACTGCCATGCAACTTGAGTAACTACGGTTCTACGTTTTCGGAGTTTATTTGTAGGCTAAGTAGGGAGGCATTTTTCTAAGTTTATTTTTCACCTAAAATACAGAGATTTCCGGCACGTTTGCTCATCGTCCAGAAAAATTAATGGTTTTTCGAATGCTTAGTGTTTTTGGTTTATTGTAAAATCCCAAGAGATGCCCCACCCCTATTTTTGGCCTGATTTGCTATATTTTTTTAAACACCGAAAAACAGTCCACTTCTAGTAATAGCAGTGTTGGGATCAATGATGGCCATGGTTTAAATGCGGCTAGTTAGCTATAGCGGGATTAAAGCCAATGTTGCTGGCTGAGGAGTACAGTCATCTGTGCTTCGTTGCCCCTCGTCACCGTAACAAGCTTGGAAGGGACATAACTTAAAAATAGCAATTTTTTTTAACTTTTCTTGCTTGTACACTGAAAGCTGGCCCACTTCATATTTTCATCCGATTTACTCTTGATGCTTGGCTGGCTAGCTTTCGGGATTTTACGGTACGTAGGGAACAGCAGGCAACAAGTTTTGTTGAAGCAGTATTTTCATAGACAAAACAATAAGAGCAGAGCCTTGCCTAAGAGAAAGGTCCGAAGGTGGATGGCTAGAAAGGCCAGACCCCCCTAATGAGGTCGCCCCCCTTTTCGCAGTAAGGGTTTAAAATGCATTCTTTTGTGACAATTACAAACAGAAGTGAAAATAAAGAAAAACAAAAGAGAGTCAGAAGTCTCAGGTTTTTCGGAAAATGTAAAAAGCAGTCGGGACTGGCAGCCCCAAATTCAAAGCTTTTCGGATAAATCCGAATTCGCAATATTTTTAGCGGCAAGCATTTTTTTTGGGCTTTATCGGATTCATCCTAAAACGCGGAACCTTGATTGCTGCCTGCTGCGAGAGCATGCGATACCCAATGGCCACAAAGACGACATGTGGTTTGCTCGACAGGAAGTCCTTAGATTCAGTTCTGGGAAAACTAAATATAATCCGATTTTGAGAAAACAAAATAAAGAGAGGAGATGGGGAGTGGAGACTGTAGGAGTGGTGAAGTGGAGTAGGAGTGGTGAAGGGGTAGGAGTGGTGAAGGAGTGGTGAAGACAATGACAAGCTATCTCTCTAAGTGGGGTTTTCCAACTTGTTCAATATATATGCCACCACTTTTTCCAGAAACATTAGGATGAACCTTCTTTCACAAAAAAGGACTTGCGGTCACAACCAAAACAGCCCTCAGGAACTGGATGATCAAATTAAACTCCGAGATTGAATTGTCATTTTTCTCCTAGAGTAATGAACTCACAAGCTAAATGAGTTCATTTTTTGTGTTTAAACCAATTTCTTGAGCAAGAAATCACCTTCACAGATTAGAGTACCCGTAATATCCCGAGAGATGCCCCACCCCCAAATGATAACCTACCCATATTTTTGGCATGACTTGCTATTTTTTCAAAAACACCGAAGGAGAGCTCACTTCTAGCAATTTTAGGACCATGCCTAAAGGTGACCTTGGCAGAAATAATGTTACATAGCCACGGCGAGAGATAAGTGGACATTGCCGACTGGGAATGACAGTCGAATTTGGTTCATTGCTCTGCGATCACAAGTTTCGCAGGTCACAAAATCTAAAACTAGCACTTTTCAACTTTTTTTTATTACACACCGAAAGGAAGCCCACTTCTTTTCACCCAATTTGCTTTCGATTTTAGGAGGGCTATTTCTCGAGATATTACGGTAGTTCAACATTGTTCGGGGTAACTCTGCTAGTTGCTACGACCCCAAAAACAAACGTATGAGGTCAGAAACGTTGGAAATCACGACCGGACACCCACCAGACACGCAGGTGTAGCCCTTGGCCTGCAGCTCCTTGGCCAGCATCTTGGCATTCTTCACCACCTGCTCCTGGTAGGCCTTGAACTCCGGGGTTTTGGCCTGCTTCAGCGCCACCGCTATGCCTGAACAAACCAGAAAAAAAAATTTAGCGTAATACAGGCAACAGCAGAACTTCGACTCCTATTGCCCTGTACACGAAAAAGTAACGACATCCTTTGAAGAATGCCACTTTCCGTTTTTATCTTGGGTCAATCGTGATGGCGGGCCACAAAGAACACTTTACGAGCGAAATCATTGCGGCTGGTTATCCCGTAGTGCGCGCTTGTTACCAAACATTGGCGTGCTGTAGAGAAGCAACGCCCGCGGAGCTCGCTTCTGCGGGTGTTGCTTTTCCACAGCGCACCCGCCCTCGGCAAGGGGCGCACTAAACAAGGTTTACTCGCCGCGATTAACGCTTTGAGAAATAAGAATATTGCAGTTTGTCTCGAAGCGAATATTGAATCGCGTATTATTCAAAACTACTATTCGAATATTCGCACAACACTACTAAATTCTATTACGTAACCCCACAGAGCCCGTCGTGACAGCATGGTGCAGATGCCGACGTTACGGCGCTCGCAACGAATCTCCAAATGGCGCGGGAGTTGTGCACCACGCCCACTAGCCCCTTGCGGTACGGGAAGTCATCTCCCACGTGGCACCGCAAGGTCGGTTTCATTGCGCTTAGGCTAGAAAACGACGTGGGCATCGCGTTTTTCACTTTTGCTGCCCTCCGCTTACCAAACAACCTTTCCCCGAATTATACTCCTCCCCACTGTGTAGAGAGCACAGAGCCTACTATTCCAAATAGCAAGATCAGAGCGTTAGATTTCTTTAAGTGACGCTGCATTAGCATTCGGCTGGTGCTCCAACGAGTTCTCATGTCCAATCTATGCTTTGCAATGACCTCCTTTAGGAAACACCGAAAATTCGGCATACATTCTTGGTATCTAGGAGGTAGTGTCGGCCGAGCCTAGTTCTTCTCTCCCACAGTAAAATACCGGGGGAGGCACCACCCCACTTACACTGAAAATTGGGTTAGTCTAGGCATTGTCGCTAGTCCAGTCAGATTGCGCGCTTAACGAATTACTTGCAGAACTCCCAAGTTTGGAAAATGTTAATTGTGGTCGCTTGATTGAAGCGGGCACTTCTGCGGTATTTTACGGTAGTCTTTCCTTTCCCTCCTTTGTTTGCGTTGCAGTTTGGAAGATGAGAAAACTAGGAGGAGCTTTCGATTTTGCTGAAACTCGAGGCGGCAAGTCGGAGTTTGAGTGGGATGAAAGCTGTGCGCCACGACCGCTTCATTACGACGCCGAGACGGGCGTCTCACCGGCGATGGTGTTGTTGTGGGGACCACCCTGGAGACCCGGAAACACCGCCTGCTTGATCTTCTCTTCGAGGTCATACATCACCTTCACGCCGGCTTTTGTCTCTGACCTCACACCTGTCACAAAAAAAGAAAGAAATGCAAAGCTGTAAGCAATGTTTTTAGTCAGCTCAATGACAAGTATAGTTGCTTCACTGACATGGACAGATTCTCTTACTATCATTACCATAACGATAGAAAATTGTGCAACTAAATTTTAATGCAATAAACTAAAAAAAAGGTTAGTAGTGCTAATTAGACTCCGCATTCAAGAACACTCAAAACGGTTTTCAATCCACGGCATTATTCGAGGCTCGACGTGCCGTTCAATTTCTTTCGATTATTAAAAACAGGAAGCGAAACTAGTTCCACTAATGTTCCATAAATTCAAGCTTCGCAGAATTCGCAAAAAAAAAAATTAATTTCTTGCGACATTTAAGCATTTCCAAGACATGATTCTGTAGAAATCAAAGCATAAACAAATTCTGGCCATTCGCTGAATTATGCCGCATCATTTTAGTCCGTGCCGCCTATTCAGCTAAACTCCGGTGCCTGTAACACCTCACTGACTGATGTGTCTGGTCGATGCATGGGCGGAGAGGACTATCGTCCCCTTCTGCCCATGCATCGAATGTGGTCCCCAAGTGGACGCCACAAAAGCCGGAGTGTCATGCTGTCAGATGCCGCCATCCTGGCGGTTTGGCGTTGAAGTTCCGACGCACCCTTGCGGTAGAAGATGACGCCGGCCCTGGGGCCGCGCAGGGTCTTGTGGGTGGTGGTGGTGACGATGTCGCAGTATTCGAACGGGTTGGGAGCCACCTGCGCGGCCACCAGGCCGCTCACGTGCGCCATGTCCGCCATGAGCAGCGAGTTGTTCTCGTCGGCGATCTCCCGGAAGCGCTTGTAGTCCAGGTGGCGTGGGTAGCAGCTCACGCCTGAGGCAGCAGACGAGGAGGAGGAGGAGCGATATTAAGCGGGCGATATCAAGGGACTTGCGAAACAATCTTTATTGCATTGGTTAACTATACTTAGTTTACGCTGAAGTCCACGCGCAGCCGACGCCGTAAGCTAAAGGAACCAGACAAGCGGCGTGAAAAGCGCAAGTCACTGGGTCTTTTCTGTTTATGATTGGTCCAGCAATGATATACAATGTACAGAAACATGATGAACACCGTGATGGTGCAATTTTGACGCTGTCCGATTGGTCCCATCAGCTCATAGCATCGACTACGTCTGCACTGAAGGCAAAACTAAGTATAGTGTTCAGATTTAGAAATAATGGAAACAGCGCGCAAACGACAAGGACGGGAGGAAAAGGAGTACACAGGACAAGCGCTTTTCCTCCCGTCCTTGTCGTTTGCGCGCTGTTTCCATTATTTCTAAGCATGAACCAACTCGCCCACATCGCTACTCTGATAGTGTTCAGAGCAAACGGATTACATTTCTGAAGCACGCAGCAGGAAACACTTTTTGTTTGCACGCGATGGATGAGGGCTAATTTTGTTCTCTCTTTTTGTTAGAATGCCTGTTAATCTAATTGGTTTTCCATTTTTTTCCACTTCACGTGGTACAAGTTGTAATTATTTGTTTTCTGTTCTCAAAAAGCTTGTGTGTTGTGTCCATTTTTTTTTTTTTTTCGTTCCTCGTCTTGGGTTTGTAACGGAAGTTACTCATCAGCTTGCCTGTGTTTTTACCTTTGTATACTGTTTTTTTTTTCTTCTCATAAATTCTCTTATTCCAGTTTTACTTGGGCTTTGAGTGGCCCATACTATTATTGCCTAAACAAAAAATAACAATGACAAATAAATAAAAGTGTCGGGAAAATACGAAAGCAAAGAAAATTAGATGTTCCATGTTCAGACAAGTTGAGATCGGGCAACCCTTCTACAAAGACACTGGTTTACACTGTAGATGAGATATTTAGCCGGTGAGGTACGACCACTAGCTTGGGGCTTTTACCATGCACCATGCAGTTGCAATACACGACCGCACGCCGGTTTGACGCATATCCAGATCGAAATGTGCAGGGGTGAGAATCGAACCCAGAATCTTTAGGTTCTGGGGCGCAAGCTTTCGCTCCACATGCTCCGAGCCTAGGCAAATGCATAGGCAAGCAAATGCAAAGGGGGCAGGGAACAGAGGCCAAATTCAGGAAAATCATTTTACGCCAAGACAACCAAGCCAACAAGTTTTTAAGTCACGCACATCCCAAGCAATGCGAAACTAACAATTATTTTGTTTCAAATCAATTCGGGAATCCAGCCTCAGTTCCCAACGTAGCGCCGAGGGTTCGGCGGAGCTCGAACTCGATTCCGCTCACCCGCAATGATGAGTTTGGGCTTGAAGAGCAGCGCCGTCTGCTGGAGCTTGTCGTAGTCAATGAGCCCCGTCTGCGGGTTCACCTTGTAGGGCATCGACTCAAAGAAGATGGACGTGGCCGAGATCTTCTTCTTGTCCGTAAAGAAGCCGTGGGTCAGGTGGCCTCCGTCGGGAAGGTCAAGCCCCATTATCCGGCCGTGGGGCTCCACCACCCCCGTGTACACCGCAAAGTTGGCCGGGGAACCAGAGTAGGGCTGCACGTTGACCCCCCAGCGCTCGGGGTCGAGGCGGAACGTCTCCAGGGCGCGCTTCTGGCAGAGGATTTCGATCTCGTCTATGAACTCGTTGCCGCCGTAGTACCTAAAACGCGCAAGGAAGGGTTAGAGGTCGTCCCGGAAAGGACGGTAAGAACGGCACTTTGGGCCACTAAGTGAACTAACGACTTTGGAGTTCTTTTGTTTGTCGTAGGGCAGCATCGAGTTCCTGGGTAGCTCACTAAGCTACAAAACAATTTTCAGGCCTGTCGCGATAAACGTGGGCTGACCAGACGCCCCATTTCGGGTACGTCTGGCCGCCCAATGGGAATGGCCAAGCCCCTAGCTATGTCTGGAACTCAGCATGAGCCCCAACCCTAACGCGTCTGTGTAACGAACATCGGCACCAGATCACGTGGTCACTTGTTCTGGCAACAAGTTGAGGGAGGGGTATATGTTGCTCTTTTATTTTCGCCGTTGCCTATGCATGGAGAGAAAACCTAACACATGTTTCGTAGGTCATGAACGTCAAGGATTGTTTTTATGCGGTATTTACTAAAAGTACAAAAATCATTCCACCGCCCCATTAACCATTTAGCACCAACACACGCGTCACCACTTTGCACCGGCGTGCTAGCAGCAGGGGCTGATGCAGGGGAGCTGCAGGTTATCTGGATCGACTCAGAAATTTCCCTCCCTCTTGTTGGTTGACATCTTTTGGTTATGATTATGGGACTTCTCTAGTTTTAAAGATAGAAGAGATAGACAAGTATTTGAATATATTCAAAACTTCTCCACAGCCGTTTAGTCTACATAAAAAAAGTGCTGTGCAAGAGTTGATTAATGTCTCCTGTCGAGGTTCTACTGCAGAATGTAGTTCAGTTAGGGCAGTGCATCGTTTAAAAAGATTAAACTAGCTCTATTGCCACCTTTCAGTCGAGTAAATAAAATTAAAGAGGATGCTTCAGACCGATTATGTGTAGGAATGCTTTTGCATTCCTACATGCAGCACATTCCTACAAGCAGCGCACCACATCTTCCTATTGCACACGGTGCTCCGGCGGTGACATCACGCTCCCCCACTGCACAGGCGCAGCGAACCCCGCCAGCCCCACGCCCTCCGTGACGATGCATCTGCGTTGCTGTGCTTTTGGCAGATAGGAATTTAACTGCCGTTTCGCAGCTACGGACAATTACAGACAATGCCGGCTTCGCTCCATGGGACCGTTAATGCTTTCGCATAAATATTTATTCATTTAATCGTTGCATTGATCCCCAGGCATAACATATTTTCAAAAAGAACTAGAACTGCACATATTGCTTTTTACTATTTTTTTGTCACGTGATAAATTATAATGTCCGGCACCACCTGAAACTTGATGGTGCCCACAGAAATGCCGTACACACATATAAAAATGAGATATGTCTTATAAAACCAACTTAAGCTTTACAATCACTCTAAATTACAATCATGTATGCAATCTGGATTATCGTGGAAGACAACAAGGCTTTCTCGTAATTTGAAAAATATACAGAAAATATTAGTGCGGGAACTTTCACGTTTTGCTTAGAGAACTCGGCTTTTGCACCCCTTAGAGCCCTATCGCAACGGGTGACAAAAAGTCACACTAGCCTCATCACCCTGACAATGATCGGGAGCATTCACTGTGTTGTGATTGAGCCGGGCACATGCTAGGTATGTGCAACGTCATGGTGTGTCACAAGGTTACATGACTGATGTCACACAATGTCATGATTTTAAATGATGTAACACTATCACAACAAGATGGTATGTGGCACTCTGACAACGTCCCGCGACATCTGTGTCACATGACATAACAGTGTCATGTGACATCATTACGCATTGTGGCATCGTGGCATCACATGACATGACATGACGTCACAGTCACAATGCCATATACGACAGCAAGCACCACGTTGCATTAGAGTGTCATATGACATCATGGCGTCTCACGGCGTCATAATGTCACAGTGCATCGCGACGACTCTTCACGACGGCTTTCTCATAGAATGCGGCTGGCAAATCGCATTCTGTGTTAAAAGCCGCCACAGTTAAAGCATTAAATGACCCGACAGTTATTCTATTGAGTGACTCGGTGATCACCTCTGTCCGGGGTATCCCTCCGAGTACTTGTTGGTGAGGCACGTGCCTAGGCACTGGGTGACCGCCAGGCTAGTGAAGTTCTCCGAGGCGATCATCTCAAGGCCCCGGAGCTGCCGCTGCTTTTCCTGGAGCACCAGCGAGTGCAACTCGGGGTCGCACTCCTCCAGAGGACGTTGCATGAATGCGGGCTCCATGGCCGACTCTGAGCAGGCGACGCGCAAAAGAAACAAAGCCGAACAGAGTTAAGCCGTTTCTCAGATCAATATTTCAGACAAGTGGCTTCAACTTCGTACTCGGAAATGAATCTCCCAGAAGATCTCGAGAGAAGTAATGCTGGGAGTCTTATATATGCTCCTAATATAAAAAATTTCTTGCCACATGAACAAAAGCTAGCCGTGTCCAAAGAAAAAAAAGTTGAAAGGTCGGTTACGCTTTTTAATTGCAGTGCATCTTAGCTAATATTGCAGACAGTGCTTTATACAGTGCACAACGTCACCTTGTTATCCCACGTCGCTTCTACAGCTTGGTGTCAGACAAGTTTTACTGCCTTCCACCACCCAAGTCAGTGAAACCTGTTGACTATTGGCACATTTCACTCCACTATTAGTCTCCATAAACACCTTTCAACTGTGAGAAAAAAAACCAAGGAAAAAAAAAACAGCAATGCGGGTGCATGCTAACCGTGGCACACTTTCTACATCTTTATCAACCTTTTTCATTTACTTTCGTCTCCCGCCACTTGGTCGGCATATCCGGCATGGGCAACAAAAAAATAATAAAACATTTCAACCTGCAAAAGAGAAGGATTGAGGGGAGGCAAAACGAAAATGGTTTACGATATCCTAGAGTAAAATAGGGGGCGCTACCACCAAACAAACATGGCGGCTGGGTCCAGGTCGCGTCGGCTCGGCCGGGCCGCCTGAACGGGTGGCGCATTCAATTTAACAGATTTTCTTTTGTTTAATGCCCAATTATATAGGTATTTGAACTAAGATGGTTAAGTGCAGCCGGTGCACATAAACTTGCAGAGCATAGTTTTGTTTTCTCTGTGTATTTTCTTCCTTTCACGTCAAACTTTCATTTTTGAGATTTCGTTCAAAACCTAAACTATGGGCTCCGGAGAGACTGTAATAGACTCTAACCAGTTTTGATCATCTAAGGAAAGTGGTGATGGCTACATAGTTGTTCTACCAAGAGTAATTCTCAGCTAACTCACATGCCTCGACCATGTGACTTATCTGTCCGCAAAATCAAGCTTTTGTGCATGTCCGCCTTTCAGAAACAACTCCAGTCGTCTGCTCAGTCAACAACACAGGCTGCAGGAAAATTACGAAAATTAAGCAAGCGCTTCTTGAACCAAGGAGCTTGTTAACCCGCTGGCGCCCCACTAAGCAACTGATACTCGTATTTCAATTCAGCTTTTAGTAGCAATCGAGAAGTCATTTTGACGAGCAGGTTATGTATTATATTACATACTATGTCCGCTAAAGCGATATTAGTATATTTTTCGGGTTGAAATATGAACTTAGTTGGCTAGCTACTAGGTGAACTGCTGAATAAAAGTATATTTGACAGACAGACAGATACTACTTAAACTTAGCCAAATGGCTCTAGCCGGTAGCACGGAGTCTAATGCAAACAAACTGAAGAGAGTCTTCATCGGAGATTCACGAAGAACCTCTCTGCATTGAACTTGACTTCGAATCCTGAACGGAGAAAATGAGTATTTTTTGTGCCTGGTCAACCTGAGCAATGTAGACGTATATTGCTGCTGTCTTTGACGGGGATATAATATAAATATTGGAGGTGCAATAGATCATAATGCCGTGACAGCTTCTGACTTTGCGAGACGCATACCCCACCCTTTGAAAGCAGATAATTTCCCTCATTAATCATATGCAGCAAGCAGGTTCTCCTGAATCAAGTAATTGCGAAATCAGTCCAACTCCTTCGGTGTGGTCCAGAGGCTTTTTCGGCGAAAAGCAGCCAAGATGACTAGCCCACGCACCGATTGGCGTGGGTGGCTCAAACTTGAAGCTAATCGAACACAACCAAACTCAAGAAAAGCAGCTATCGAACCTTCCCATTCACTTGACTGCAACATTGGCATTCCCTCCAGTGAAACACCTCGTCTGTCGTCCACTGTTCTACATCCTTATAAAGAAACCACTTATCAGTTACCAAGTAGTCGTCACTTTGAATGTGATTCGAGACACGCAAGAAATCTAAATGTTTTTCCGTGATTCCTCCCCATCCAAGAAATCGAAAGCACACAACCGTGTGTTGTGGTGTAAAAGGGGCTTTCAAACACATGATGGAAGGAAACAATCTACTGAAGCTTCGCCACACTAATGAATACTCAGGCAAACTTAAGAAATTTTCGGATACTTTGTCAAATTACATTGTTCGCCACCGCGCTGACAACATGTGTCCGCGAAAGCCACCAGAGACGCGGAGGGGCGCCGAGCGACCCGGTCTGCCTGGTTCCCGGTTTTTCCACTTGGTGGCGTCCGTTTTGCTGGAGTTGCGAATTGGCATGGCGATGGCAAAACAATGTTTTCGCCCATACTGGAAGTGACAACATTCAAGATGGCGATGCCCTTGTGAAAAAGGTCTACTCTAAATTACTTAATTTTTGTGAGGACCTAATTTTTACGAGTTTCGCGAATCACCTACAGTTCGCGAAAAATAGGTCCCGTGAATAATTCCGGTAAAATGTGCACACACTGGAATCTATATTTAAATCCCACCGTGTCACAAAAATTAGAACCACCGAATTATTAAAAAATTCCAGCTTTTACCTACATCGCAAAAAAATTGAGCCCACGAAAAATAAATCGTTTTCAGTACAGACAAATCTTGTTAATTCATACTCGAGGGTGACCAAAATTTGTTTCAATAAAGCAAAGTTTGAATTACTGAGAGTTTTCTCCGATAGAGACACATAGGATGGAACCTACATGTTAGTTTGAATTATCCACAAGTTTGAATTAGGAGAGTTTGAATTAACGAGATTTGACTGTATATAGCTCTGATGTAAGGGGCATGTTTTGAAGGCTGCCATTTCTGACCCCAATCGAAAGTCTTAAAACTGATGGAGTCCCAGGACCAAGCTCGAAAAGCTACGTAACTGGCAGATCAGTGGCCTTCTGCACGCAAGAGGCTACGACCGTAATCAACGAGTGGGTGGTGCAACTTGAAAATGGCTCAAATGATACGAGAAACCGGGAACACTCTGTGAGCGCAACCAGATAGACAGATAAAGTTCCACCTAAAAACAAGCGTTTGGTGGCAAAGCCACTAATGCCAACTGCCTTTTCAACTTAAGTAGTACGGTCAGATTTCCAAAAGGACGCTCGGAGCAAATCTATTAATTATAAGAGTTTTTAAGTTCCCCCAAAAACTATTTTCAGGAAACGGAGGAGAGCTTTAGAAGGCTTCAGAGAGCTGCACGCTCCCAGCGCATAGCAGCCACTACAAAAGTAACTCCACAGAAGATCTCGTAAGAAGTTCGGCACTGCAAACGCGAGACACCCCGCTTTAGAAGCATAGTTAATGAATTGTTCACGCTGCAGGCAAGAGGTCACGTGATGGAATGTGCAACACCCCTGTGCACCGCGCAACTCGAGGAATGTGCGTGGTGTGAGACATGTGTCAAATGTAGAAGAAACTTCGCACCACACACCCACATAAAGCAGGACGTCTCTATAGCAAAGACTGATACAGTGAAGATATGGATACAGTGAAGCAAATTCAGAGTATGCCACTACTCGTACATGCTTTACGGGTTCCGATACGGCAGAGTTACTGATATATGGTTTCCTAAAATAAAACTGACTTTATGAAAGAAAGAGGTACAATTATTGCCGTCATAAATGCAACAGAAGCTGTACCAAATGGTGACCAGGTCATACCTCGAAAGAAAAAAAGCGTACATGAAGTGCTTCAAGAGCAAAGTGGACAGCATTGAGAGAGGAATAGGAAGTTTGTAGGGAAATACCTTATCTTGTCTGCAATAAAAAAAAAAAATGTTTGGATAAGAGACAAGTAAAAAGTTCAATAATTGAACATTGAGGAGCAGGCCAGACTGACCTTTTTCTCTGCCGAGAAGCCGAGCGTACGTCCCAACGTCTGAGACTGTGTGGATCAACTGATAAAGATGGCCAGTCTCCAGCTATCTATCATTGCGCTAGACGCTAGACAAGGCGGGCCCGGCGTCAAGGTTACGCGGATAACAGACGACAAGACAGGGGCTACGTGGTCGCCCGTGACGCAACAAAATATACGCTCTGATGACGCGACAGCGTGCCAAGGGTAGCAACCACTGTGACGTAGCTATTGAGGACCAACAATGGAACAACAATCCCAAGCCCCCTCCTGTAAACAGAAAGTGTTGCGGCAACGGTCGGTAAAGACATTCTTTTTATTTTTATTCAGCAATACTGTTAGTCTCACAGGGGAAATTACGGCAGGTGAGACTTAAACCAAAACTAAAAAAATCGCAATACACAAAGAACCCCAATACGAGCAGTAACGTATTGTTTGAACATTATATGAAACGATTTATGCTAAATGCGCAGCAAACGTATCGAGTGATCCTTGTTGAACCATCTCTCGAGAAAACCCGTCTAGTCTCTGAAACAACCCACCTGAAGTTAACAACTCCATACTTTCTCAAAGGTAGCATATTTTCCAGTATATAAATCCAATCTTTTTTTTTTTTTTTTTCGCTAAATTAAGAGATTATTTTTGCAGTGGGCACGAAGCTAGCAATGGGGAAGCGCGGATGATATCTAATCATGCGCGTTTCCCCACTGCTAGCTTCGTGCCCACCGGACAAGTGGTAACTTTGGTGCACCCCCGCATTTCCCACGTGCTTCAAGCCGTTCTAAAATTAACTGACTTAGTGGTTTTCGATGATGATCAGCAAGTTTCTCGTTGAACCCATATGTTTATTTTCCCTAATAAAAAAAGATAATTATTAAATTTCAGTTAATTACTCAACAGACTGTGACAGTTGTTCACTTATCAAATGTTTGCCAAGCTCAAGAAACATATAGTGAAGGCAGCATTCATGTACCAGTAAAGACGACTTTTTTAAAAATCCGTTTCGAAAGTTGGCTTATAAGTTGCATCCTTGTACAAGGATGCAACTTATAAGCCAACTTTCTTGTGAAAATGGCTGTTTATAGGGAAATACGACTTCGAGACTGGAGTATATGGTAAATGAAATATTGATACAAGACTTGAATGTGAACACGAAATGAACATATTCAAACTAGACACTTTTTGTAGATAGGCAAGGGCTGATAAGGAGACTGGATTGTTTTTATGTGCCTCCAGGAGAAAGTGCTAATCATGAAAGCACGTGCCAACAAAATGAAAGTGTCTAGGCACATTCGCTAGGCGTATTGGAGGAAATAAGTGCTGTCTGGCACAAGCCAGCGAAAATATTGCCACACCATATCTGCTTGGCTAGTTGTTGCCTGTGACAAAAAAATGAGGTGCTCTTTTGTTTTCTAGAGATATCTATTAAGTTGAGGCTTGAAATCTAAAGTACATGTCCCCAAAAGAATAAATAAACTATAAGTTTTTCTTTTTTGCAAAAGTAAATTATGCATCGCTGAATGCTCACTATCCGACCAAGTGTAGTGCTAGCAGCGCGGACCAGATGCCAAATTTTCAAAACTAACCGTTATGCACGTTCTTCGAAAATTCTAAGCAATTTTCTGAAAATTTTAATGGAACAATGGGGCGTCTGTTTTCGGTAGTTTGAGTCATTCAGCCCAATCTCTTTGCGGACTTCGTCGGCAACCATTTCCCATTTGAAAATTTCTGAAAATAGCTTTTAACTTTCGAACAAGACAACGATTTGTTCCGAAACATTGCCATCTCGGCAAAGTTTCAGGCGACCCAGCGTTCCGTGATGCATAATTAATTTTTGCAATTAAATAAAAAACATTTGGGGGGGGGGACGTCCTGTACAACATTGCCTACGTATTGTTGGAATTCAAAATGCTTCCTGCTGACAAAATGTAGAGCCCAAGCATCGTACTCAGCTTGATAAAACCACTGGACAGAGCAATGCCAGCAATCTGCTTTGCTCAAGCACCTCTTTGCAGTACGTTAGCAGCTATCGCAAGCAAGTAATATAATCCGTCGGTTTTCAATAGAATTTTCTCGAGTGTGCCATGGCATGTACTCCGTCTGAAATGTTTATCTCGGAGATGGCTCGAAGAGGACCGTGGACGCACAGCGGCCGCTGAGGCGAGAGAGCGCAAAGATTTCCCCTGCGAGCCAAGAGATAACGCGATACAGGCAAATCTTGTTTCTGTGCGTCTATGTCTTTTTGCCTAGTTTAGCAGTTGACAGGAATGATGCAGCACTTTTTGCCCATGTCAAGAAAGACTCAGAAGGAGTTAAATGGAGCATGCTGCATCATCGCACCAAGAATACCTTGGGGTGAAAGCAAGCTTATAAATCTGTTTATAATCCACAATTCTTTTAGTGATTAAAAAAAAAAAAAAAAAAAAAGAGCTGGTGGAAGTTTTGTAGGGAATAAAAGCAACAAAGTTTTAAGACTCTTTGCTTTCACCACACGAAGATTAAAAAAAAAAAAAAAAGATACATAAAATTGCATGACAATGTGCAAACAAAAAGTTTAAAAATGTACCTTGATTATTATATTTACAGTCCAGTATTTCTTTGCATCTTGTGCATCGACAAGCGAGATATGTTTAATATCAATCGCACGAGTTACGCGACGAACGTACGCAATCATACGCATTAAAAGTGGCGCACTTCGTTGAACATGCCAAGTTTTCATCTTTGAGAGAAAAAAAAACAGCAATAGTAGTAACACTTGTAGCAATTTAAAATCATACACTAGGACACGTTGCACGCTATAACACACTTACGATTTAAAGCGCCGTCACCGTTGTGATGTTCACTCATGGTTGCAGCGTGCTGTCAGGCCGTCGTGGTACCACCAGGAAGTCACTGGAACGGTTGCGCAAATATCGATGTAGTACGTAGTAGTAGTACTTTTCACTTCCGCTCACGTAGCTTTTCTAGTAAGAGATCGATGCAACTTCGCGGTAGACGGCAAAGAAGTGACACAGTTTATCTCGGTGATTTTTTGCCGGCTACGAAAAGTTGGAGAGGAGAGGAGAGAGCGGGTCAACTGGGCGGTGCAATGACCTACGTCTGCTATCGACTGACCGGTTTTTCCGTCTGGACACTTCGAGCCCGCCGGACCAACTAAAATAATTTCGTCCACCATTTTGTTGTTGCGATCTGTCTGGCGTGTGCCAAACTCGAGCATTTCAAGGATTTACATGCCTTCTCAAATGCGTAGAGCACCGCTGACATCATTTCAGCCGATTACGATGTAATCCTTCAATGTAGTAAATTTGTTTGAAGAAACAAACTAACAACAAAATGGCGGAATGACGTCATGTGCAAACAACCTATAATTGGTCTGTAATCGCTGTCTGGGTAGCACGAAGGTTAGTCGGTAAACCCAGCGCTCAAGGTAAGCTACCTATTACTTGTCCACAGGTTTCTCGCAGCTTCACTGCCAGTCGCTGAGGAAGTTATCAAACAGTAAACAAGAGTTGGAACCTACAGTTAGAACGGATGAAACGTGCAGCCAGGCGAAGCTGAGATGTCAGAATAGGTGCTTCCCGCGCAAAGTATGCGCAACCTGTTGCTACTGGGACGGCTGTCGGCTGTGTCGGCTGCTGTGTTCCTTCAGCAACACGGCATGGCACGGCACGTTTGAAACCCCTAGATAAAGAGAAACAACGTCAACAAATTCGGCAATCGCTTTCTGGCTAGCAGGGGGGTAAAGGTGGGTGAGGAGGAGTGGCAAATCCCGTGCGCCGACATCCTGGGTCCCGAGTGAACGATCGCAAAAGAGAGCGACAGAACACGAGAGAAAGAAAGCAACGTTGCCATGGTAAACACGGAGAGTGAAAACTCTCAGCAATATAAACAGTGATAATTTAACGTTGTAAACTAAATTCTGAGCTATTCTAACGCTTATAAAAAGCAATAAAGTCATTACGCTGCATTAACTTCCCTTCTGTCGAAATCTCGGAAATCTGGTGGTTACGCAGTTTCGTATTCCTCAACCGCGCCCAGCCGCGCCCCACCAGCGAAGCCGGGTATATGGTTTAGTTTAGCGTTAACGCGAGGCCGTACATCTGCGCGCTATGCAAAAAGAAACCTTCGAAAAGAACGCGAGTATCTTTCCACCGGTAAGTTCGTGGATTGTTGAAGTTCACGAAACTGCTCTGATGATGTAACCGTGTTTGGGACCCAGAGTGTCTGCCTGCATGGTCCGCCGCTTGCGGCAGCCAGAATGTATGGGAAAATGGCGGACCTTTTCCTCTAGATTTAGTATATGATCTCTATGCTGGCTAGCCAATCGGTGCCATCGGTTTCTCGGAAGTTTAAACAAACCACGTGATATAAAATTTGCGTCAGCACCAATGAGGTAGAGGGAGCACTCACAGTTTATAAACGATGAGGCTTATATAAATGACAAATTATTAAAGTAACTAGAAACATGTAAAGTTCAGGCTAAACTTATCGAAACTCGCTAAACTTATCGAAAACGATCGTAGTTCGTGGGCTCATCCGCTAACATTGTATAACAAAATCGGCGGCGCGGCGCCGAGTATTTATTGGCGGCGACGCGACGTGCGAACTTTTCGGCGCGAAACCGAAACCTTACTGAAAATGCTATTTGGTTAAAACTTAAAACCCTGGGTTTTGTTTAACCGATGATGCGACAGAATGAAACATTTAGGAACTGATAGGGCAGTTATTTATTTTTACGAATCCTTACACTGAACTAACGTCGACGTTTCAGTACGGTGGTTGTAGCCTGTCGCTGTGCCTATTTTATCTCGGAAGGTACGTCTTTCTTTCAACGTTAGACGGCTTACAGAATACCGCGCACGACAGCTCCTCGATCATCACTGAGCAGTGCTGGCTTATTATCAATTCCTATTTTAATGCCCTTGACGTTTGACAGCGGCTCGCCTTTGCACACAACCGTATGGGCCGCGCTTCAAAACATTTTAATTCTCGTCGTCTTGTAGTTTTGCTTTCGAAAACCCTTTGTGCCCGAGCAGCTGAACGATCCAGAACTCCCGCGCTACACACCTTCAAACCTTTGCCGCGGCGCCGATTCTTGATCGGTATCCAAGCGTGCGAAGGAACAGAGACGCAGCGCTTCGGCGTACCAAGAAAGCTTTGATTACGCCGCGAGACCGGCAAAACATCCTTTCGACGAGTTCTGCCTTTTTCCTGTGGCGCTGCGCTTTTGTGAAGTTTCCAAGTATTCTGAAAGGGAAGTCTCACCGTCTTTGTCGCGGGTTTAAGAAACTTCGACGAATGACGACGAACGCGTAGTAAACGTGTCTTCAGCACGCTGCCGCCAGCCTCTGCAACGCTCGCAGAAACGCGATTTCGCTACATGCAAGATGGCCGTCCGGTGGCCGCACTGGCCGCACTCGCGCGCCCGCGCACCCGCGCTGCGTGGTAGCAATTAACACTGTAGTTGTAGTCACTGTGGTTGTAGTAGTTGTAGCACCTGTAGCAACGTGCAACCAGTGCAACTGCGTGCGTGCAACCGTGCAACGTTGCGCGTTGCGCGGTAAGCAACAGAAGGGCAGTGGCAGTTTCGGCTGAGACGTTGCCTGTGCTTCCTTTGCATTTTTGCACGTGAAAGTGAAGTTGGTTTCGCGTTCCGACACTTGTCGACTTCAACAAACAGGTACTGTTGTCAAGACTAAATCGTTTGGTGCGTTACATAGAGGCGGCCGTGACTTCATGTAGCAGGTTCTTTTGCGTATGAGTCGCGTCACTTGAAACCGTAAAAACAATGCTCGCCTAACTGTGGGTGTGTGTTTTTTAGCAGCATTAAACGGTTCAACCAAAGTAAAAAAAAAAAAAAAAAAATGACACGCAGGTAAAGGGGTGACGAATTTGGCAGAGGCATTGGGATTTGCTGGCGAGGATATGGAAGAATAGAGGAGAAAATTAGTCAAATATTGGTTTTGTTTGTTTGAAACGTAGTTTAATATATACACCCTCACCACCTTGACCTCAGGTCATTTGTGGTTTGGGGGGGGGGGGGGGGGGGGGGGGGGTAAAGTAAAGTGGATAGGGGGGGGTGGGGTAGGGTTTGAAAGCCGTAACCCAGACAACACTTGGACATCCCCAGGATGTCCTCAGGACAACCTTTTGAGGACATTATGATGTCCTGAGGATGTCCTCAAATGATCCTGGAAACATCCTAAAAACGTCCTATTGTCCGGCCTCAGGACATCCCCAGAACGTCCTCAGGAGGGCAGCCAAGGATTTTTCTGGTACATTTTTAGGACAATGCACTGCAGGTGCAGCTGTTCACTGAGCTGTTAGGATGCTTTCATTTTCATTGTTTCTAGGTTTTCTCCCACTGGATTTTGAACCTAAAGATGCCTGCAAGAGCAGCCTGCAGAAAAACAATGCATTGTTGTGCACTATTTTAAAGCGTAATTCACACACTAATTCTAGATTACTAGTCAGTGAGAGGCCAAGAACAGAGGGCAAGGGAAAGGAGGAAGAAAGCTGGCGGAATGCTGAAGAGGAGAGAAGAAAACCTCTCCTTTCCAGCATCCTGTCGGCTTTCTCCTCTGCGTATTTCCTTGCGCTATGTTCTTAGCCTGTAACTATGAGAATGATCGTGCCATTCATAATTGCAAACAAAGGTGACTGTTCAAGAAATACTTTATTGGAGAGCAAATGACGTTGTCAATGTCTGCACCAGACGTGCAGTCTGGCTTCGCATCTTGGCCAGCAGTAGTCCAAATTGTCAGCGGAATCTACAAAAAAAAAATCAATTCCATGAGCATTAATAATAAAACAACAGGTAATGTGAGAAACTTACCATCATGTCGAACACCTCCGGCCTTTGACTGCAGCTTTTTCAGTTTCTCTCCAGCGTGGCGCAGTCATACTTTGATAATGGTCTCCACGTCAGCTTTGTTTGCGCACTCAACATTTGATTTCACTGCTCCTAAAACATTGATTTGCGATGACATTCACAGCAGAAAGCTAAGATGGCCTAGAAAAAAATCACAATTAATGTTTGCGCGAGGAAGATACCATTGCTACCGAGTCTACTTTTGCACAGTTGGAAAACTCGAAGTATTCGTTCACGCGCCAGCATCTTTCCCGCCGAAATTGCCGTTCATTGCTTTCCACCATTTCGAAGAGGTACTACATATAAAAACACACTAACCTTTGTCACTGCCTTGCATTACTGCCATCATCAATTTGGATGGAATAGCGCAGATATGAAGACTCGCAGCGCTGACTAACAACTCAGTGATATATTTCTTCTTCCTCAAATCGTCATCATCTTCTCCTTCGCCGTTAATGAAAACATTTTAAATTTTTAAACACATGAAACCAAATAGCCAATAAACATTATTAAGTAAATAATAAATAAATAAATGACAGCAAAAAAATTAATAAAACTAAAACAATTAAAACAAATGAGAAAAAACAAAGTTAAACATATTTTTAGTAAATAAATTACAATTAAAAATTAAACTTAAAAAATTATTTCTTTTATTTTTTAAGTTTTATTTCTTTTTAATTGTGATTTATTTATTTATTCATTATTTATTTATTAATGTCTATTGGCTATTTGGTTTCTGCTGTTTAAAAATTAAAAATGTTCTCATTAACGGCGAAGGAGGAGAAGATGACGATATGAGGTAGAAGAAATAGCTATAAAAAAATAGCCCAACCAACTAGCCCAAGCATCCACATTATCAAGCCGTCATCAACCTCGAGGCTATTTCTGTTTCTGTCCTGGCTTGGCTAGGGCCACCATAGCTTGGCTTAGCTTGCTCGAGTCTCTCGGATGGGTGGATAATTGCCATAACGGTACACCTTGTAGTAGGCGGTAGCTTGCGCCACCTAGATTAAATGTTGCCAATGGAACTGAATTTCGAAATACTGCGCAGATACAAAACTAATAATAATTGTAGTGCGCCCTGGTTTCATTAAAGAATTGTTTGATCAAAACTATAGTTAAAAAATGTCCTAAACTTACGCAACTACGTGTAATAATTTGTATGTGAAATTTAGTTGAGCAGTGAACGTGAACTGTGTATACTACTGCCATTTCATTCATTTATTTTTTTAAACGCAATCAAATTGAGGACGTATATATTACCTCTAACTTTGTATCCTTCGTCCTCAATGAGTCCTCCGAAAGACATTTCTAGGATGATCCAGCGACTGACGTTCTCAGGATGTCCTGAGGACGTCTTGAAAACTGTGAGGACGTTTGTACCTTTCGAGGACGTCCTGAGGATGTCGGGTGTTGTCTGGGAAGTGGTTTCTGATGCTAGTTTCCCCAGATAAATTCGAAGAGGGAGTTGAGTACCATCTTCCTTTGCTGAGGTTTTCGGGGTTTTTGATGGCACTCAGCAATCTCCTCATTTGAAAACGTATGTTTATTTTCACAAATTCAAAACTCAATTAATACATTTTAGGAAATTATCTCGCTAATTAGTGTGTCTATGTAATGCCTGACATCCACCGTGGCTGGCAGTTTTTTCCCGAAAAAAGTCTTGTATCTTCTTAACCACCCTACTTGAAGGAACTTTTGAAAGTTTCTGTAGAAACGGCTGGTGTATGAATGTCCATTATGTTGAGCATTAGTCAACAGTCGAAATGTTTCGTGCAATAAGGAACATGGTGGCCTTCCTAAATGGATAAATCGGAGGGTCCTGCTGTTCAGTTGAATTTATCCACAAAACTAAGACGCTGTTTACAAAACAAATTTAGCAAAAATATGGGGAAAACTGGTGGATTCCGAGGCATAGTTATCTCAGATTTTATCTTTTGCATGTACCTCTTCTTTGATCGGATTTTTACTGTACTGGCAATGTGGGTAGGAAAAAAAAAAAAGAAAAACTGATTATGTTGGCATACTTTCTAAGTTTATGTTGGGCAACATAAGCTACTGCCTATATGGAGCACAAGTTCGTCTGCTTCTTGCACAGGGGTTGCTCTGCTGCAAAAAAGCCGAGTTCTGGTTGACTCGGGGGAAGGGGGGGGGGGGGGGGGGGGGGGGGGGGGTGGACCTGAATGCTAGCTGCTTTGAGGTTTACCCACCATTCTTCCAATCGGAGCCAATCAGAGCTCGGTATCTGACGTCACTGCAACGCTCAAGAAGCAGACAAACTTGTTCTCCGCTTTGCTAGGCACACATGCATTCCATTTCCTTATTCATTCATAGTTGTTATCTCGAAATAGCAAAGTTCTGGGTGTGTCTCGTTTGTGTTATCTTCATAGTTGTCTGGCTAGCTTGATGTGCTTGGAGGTCGTGCTCACTTTCTTCTTAATTAATTAATGTAACTGCTCTCTCTTTGCATTTGGTCCTAGTCGTCTCAAATGGTCCCGTGCATCCTCCGTGATTTTACGAGCCTACTTACGAACCTGACCGCAGACAACAATTCAGATGGAACCGATCCAGTCCTCAAGTCGTGGTAAGCTTTTCATTTCAAGCTCTTTCATTAACAGAAGACATTGGCAGTGTCTAGACTATTGGTGGTTATAGCCTAGAGCGGCGCATCTTGTTCAGCTTTTTGCAGACTCTTAGGGGTTTGTGAGGATTTGTTGATCTCTACCAGGGACGTGTCCTTACTCGAGCCCAGATGGAGATGTGCACAGTGATGTGGACTGGAGTTCAAGGGGGAGGAAGGCTAGGAAGACAATTGAATTTTCTGAGAAGTTTATGGCACTGAAGAACAAGTACTGGGCTATGTAAATGTAAAGTTTTTATACATTTGAAGAGGAATAGGCTTTCTACTGGGCTCTGGGCTAATGTTGGCAACAAATGAACAGTATAGAAAATTAGCCATTGCATCCTAATTTTTTTCTATCATAAAGTGCCACAAAATTTTATTGAAGATTTGTATTTTACACAAACATTAGAGAAAACATTCACTCGTCCTCCAGATGTTTGTTTTTCGCACAATATATTCCTGGCCATCTGATGTGTCCTATCAATACTTCTTCAGAATGTCGTACTGTTGAAAATATTCAGGAAGGTGGAGAGCAACAAACGTCTGGGTGCCAATTGAATGTCTCCTTTCAACTTTCATACAAATTGTCAGTTTTCAGTAAAGTGTTTCAGGCATCATACAGGTAGTTGAATGCATCTGGTGATTTGTAGGTTTCAAATTACTCTCAGATATGTCGACCAGGTTAGTGGAAAGGGCAGTCCTGAAGATGCGCCCATGATACCTTCAGGAGATGGTCATATCTTTGAGAAACGAGTGCTCTTTCTTTTCACCCAAGGGATCAGGAAGGCATGTCGATCCCATATAATAAAATTTAGGAGGTACCGCAATCAGCACTCGACGGTGAGACTTAGTACTCGCTACTTACTGTGTGTCCTCAAAAACAAGCAAAAGAAATAGCCGACCGGAAGTAAACTACTCCCCCTGGATGTTTGCGTGCTCGTTTATATGCTTTTTAA